TTTGGGGCCTTTTTAGCTTCACCCAGTGCAGAGGTGGGCCCCATTAAGACGTTGTCTGGTGGCTGGACTTCTGTGAGCTTAGCTCCCTAAGCAAGGGTCAAGGTAGCCTTGTCTCTTGTGATCCATCTACATTGCTTTTAAACTGCAGAGACAAGTGTGACTGCAAATCAAGCCCAGGTCCCAGGAGGCCTCAGTCCCCGATTCAAAGTTCTGCATTCCTTAGGAGCACAACTTTGATGGGTTCCACAGATCCCTCCCTAGGACTGTCCTGAGCAAGGGACACATTGAGCATGGGACACAGCAGGCGGTTTTGGTGAGCATAGTTCCGATTGCCACCTTTTCGTATCTCCCTTCCTACACTTTGCCTTTGGGGAGAGTGATAGAAAAGACACGAAGTAGCCCAGGGTTTTGTGAAGCTGGGGATGTCCATGTGAAAGGCTTACAAACTTCTGAACATGCTCAGTGTTGAGCAGTTACAGTCAGGTGCTCTGTGGGGGTCAGGGTTCTCTCTGGATTTGGCTGCCTAAAATCCGTAGATGACATAACCAGTCCTCCTCAGTGCTTGAGAAGCACCCACCCTTTCCTGCTTGGAGATCTGAGTGCAGGTACCTGGTGCTTCTTAGTTTCAGCAAGCTGAGCAGTCAGTGCAGGAGAAACTTGAATGTTTACTCCATGACTCTTCTCAGAAGCCAACATTAGACTCCATTATATATACTTCTTTTGAATGAGGGAATTTATGAACCCAGCATCCTTTGTTCTAGTGCTTTTTTTCCCCCGTGACAAGGTTTCTCTGAACAGGCCTGGCTGTCATTGAACTAACTGTCTCTGTAGGCCAGGCTGGCCTTGAACTCACAGAGGTCCACCTGCCTCTGCCTCCCAAATGCTGAGATTAAAGGAGTGTGCTACCACGGTGGCTTGTTTTAGTGCTTCTTGTTGGCAACTGTCACTCTCTGGCAATTCTCTCCAGTTTTTTAAAATCTGGGGTGTTAGTTCGTTTCACTCATCATGGTCCGTTTCCACCATTTTCAGCCCCTTCAGGGCGAGTCTTAGCGCCACTGCTGAAATGGCGAGGCCTGACAGCGTTTCTCTATGTCCTTCGTAGATCTTGGTGATGGAGCCAAGCCCTGGCAGTGCTATGCACCAATGCCGCGCTGTAAGAGCAGCACGTGTGTAGAGCCTGTTCTCATAATAAGGAACAAGTGTTTCACCAGCACGACAGTGTCCACCCGTTTGGAGACTTTTTGGCTTCTTTGGCTCTTTGAGGAAGGATGCCTGATGGCCTATGGTCCATTAGCATAACTTCAGGATTGAGCAGTCTGCATGCTGACAGCCCGGGGAAAGAGGCTAGACTCCATTCTGTCTTAAGAGCAAAGGTTGGAGGTGTGATGTTACAGACACATGTGGAGTGCCAGGTCTCCTACTGGCCCGTGTGGTCTTGGTCGGGCTCTCAGGAAGATGGCCTCCTTCCTTTCAGGGACAGTATCAGAGAATTTAACTTCCAGTGCTATTGAAGCAAGGGCTCTCTCTGCCTTTGAACTACTCCCCAGCCTAGGAATTGTCTTAGTTGTTTCAACACAGTGGGGAGAGCGGACGTGCAAGGGAAGAGAAATGAGATGAAGGGTGCATTAAGGAAGGAGTTGTCATTGTCTGTGCGCTTCAAGTCCGCCTCTTCTACATAGCAAGCTTCAGGTCATCCAGGACTACATAGTGAGACCCTGTCTAAACAGAAAGAAGGAGCTAGAACAACCAATGTCGAAGGAAGGCTGATGAGATGGTTCAGTGGGTGAAGACACTTGCTGTAAAACCTGGCATGCTGAGTTCACTCCCCACATCTGATGGTAGAAGAAAACCAACTCCAGAAGTTGTTCTCTGTTCTCTACTTGCTTGCAGTAGCATGTGCACATCTGTACTCACACTCATGCAGTAGCATGTGCGCATCTGTACTCACACACTCATGCAGTAGCATGTGCGCATCTGCACTCACACACTCATGCAGTAGCATGTGCACACCTGTACTCACACACTCATGCAGTAGCGTGTGCACATCTGCACTCACACACTCATGCAGTAGCATGTGGACATCTGCACTTACATGCATATACCACTTTACACATAATAATTAAAATTTAAATACATGTAGACTACTTTAAATGTTCCCTTTAACTTTATTCTTACAAAAATTGGTCATCGGGAGATCAAAGGCAGAAGAGACACTGAAGGCAGGATGTAGGTGACAGGAAGAAACTTCCTTGAGATGGAGGAAGAAGGATAAACTAAGAAACCATTAGCCTGCTGTTTGTGTAGATGTCTTTTTTTTTTTTTTTTTGGTTTTTACGAGACAGGGTGTCTCTGTATTGTTTTGGAGGCTGTTGGTCCAGCCCAGCCTCGAACTCACAGAGATCCGCCTGCCTCTGCCTCCCGAGTGCTGGGATTAAAGGCGTGCGCCACCACCGCCCAGCTTTGTCTAGATGTCTTAAAGCCCATTCAACTTGCCTGAATTCCTAGGTATTACAGAAGCCGTTCCTGGATTTTCTAGTTCCATTTTGTAATGTTACTTGTAGCTAAATTACAATATTTATCTTCCTATCTGGCCGACTCAATTTCTTATATTTATTTTAACATTCTAATTTACCTAAAAAGTAGTCTCTATTCACTTTTTTGGGTGGTATGGGGGATTGGTCTCTACTCTTTTATTATGAAAATGAGTTTACAAAATAAAGGATAGTGAGCATTACACTTAACCTTACTCCAAATTCTCTTAGGGTGTTTACTGATATTTATGATATAACTTTATACAGCTGTGGTCAGTATCTGTATACTTATCTTAATCTTATTTTCTACGTTAATGAGAGCATCTATTTGTCATAGTAAGTCAATACAAAGCATTTCATCTTAATATTCTATCTTGAGCCTTTCTGACTGAATTGACTCTAAAATTGCAGGGAGAGCAGTTCATCTGTATCCATTCTGTCAGTGTGTGTGCCTCCTCAAAAGGATGCCCCACTATTTTCAATAACTGTCCCCAAAGTTTATGAGGTGCGTTCTCCCAAGTAGTCCCGAGTTTTTCCTGTTGTTTTTGGAGACAGGGTATTGTGTAGCCCAGCTGGCCTAAAATCCCCTGTGCAGCCAAAGATAGCCTTGAACTCCTGATCCTCCTCTCCTGCCTACACCTCCTGAGTTCTGGGATTACAGGCAATGTGCCACCATTCCTGGATTTCACCATATTAAAAAAGAATTATGGAGTTTGGAGAGGTGGCTCAGAGGTCAGGCACTTGCATCAAACCTGAAGGCCTGAGTCAGTTCCTAGGGCTCCCAAGGTGGAAGAGAACAGACCTCCAAGTATGTTCACACAGTGTGTACACATGGACTTGTGCATGTACAAACAAATAAATAATAAATAAATGTAGAAAAAGACTGGGGAACAGCAAGACGGTTCAGCAGGTAAGGATGTGAATTCAAGACAGAAGGAGGTGATCGAGTCCTGGAAATTATCCCGTGAGCTCCAAGCATGTGCAGTGACATGTGTGTGTCTGCTCTCATATATACACCCACCATGGACATCATAAAAGGATTTCATCCGAATCTGGCCCCCCTCGTGGATATGCAAAGGATGCTACCTGGTAGTAGTAACTGCATCGAGTGAACTAGAAATACTCTGTGACTTTGTAGGCTGTCCTGGAACTAGCTCTTGTAGACCATGCTGGTCTCGAACTCAGAGATCTGCCTGCTTCTGCCTCCCGAGTGCTGGGATTAAGGACGTGTGCCACCACCACCCTGCTCCAAGTCAACTTTTAAAGCATAAGTAATGCAAAAATCTTTTGCTACTTCTAATGCACACCGTTGTTGTTTAACGTGTTTTAAGGCTGCAATAGGTAAAGTGTCAGATGAGTATATGGGAACACGACTAGCTGGGCTTTCAAACTGTCTTTTGCGAATAAATCCCCTCTAAAATATTATTACAGGGCTGGGACTGCAGCTCAGCGACATAGTCTGGCTTAACATATAACAGGCCCCGAGTTTAGTCATCAGCAACGCAAAAACGTACAGTAAGAAGTTTTTCAAAGTTACAGTACGCATTGCCACGCGTCCCAGAGCTGCAAACCCACCAGAGGGCGCTCGTTCTCCGTCGATTTAATCCCTAGCCTCACATTAGCGGCAGGAAATCCAGGTAAAAGGCATCCTTTCAGGGTCGGGGAATCTTTCACTTTTAAGGCACAAATGCTCCCCGAGAACCTACTTAGCAGCCAGTCGCGGGAGTGGAGAGTCATAAAGTACAGTGGTGAATTGGGCGTGGTTTCAGTGTAGCCGACTAAAGGTAAACACGGGCGACGGTAATGAGGAAGGAGCGCCCAGCACCCTGACGCTGGTGATTCCGAGCGCGGCTCCAGCGCCGGAAGCTCGCAGTTCCCCTCCCATCTCCCGGACGGCTCACACTCCGCCTGGGGACGGGGCGATCGCCGCCCCGAGGCGCCGTTAGTCGCCTCCATTCCTCCGCTAGGCGAGCGCGCCTTTTCCAGAACATCCCGCAAACCCCGGTTCACGGTCAACCCTTAATTCGTCCTCCAGCCCAGGGACGGCCTAGCACCCCGTCAGGAACTGCCAGCTCCCGTTCTGCCCTGGTTCAAAACCCGCGGGCTTTTCCAGTTTGAGCGCCTAGTTTCCCGTCGCGATTCTCGCGACAGTTCCGAAACCTCGCGTGAAATTCGCTTCCCGTCCCCCCCCCTCGGAGTTTGGGATTGTCAGTGTACGGCTCCGGTCCACCTTTGTCAGAAACCCTCTGGCCAGGAGCAGCGAGGAGGGCTTGGTCGAGTTCAGACCAGCCCAAGGAGAGCAGTGGCTCAGGCCGCCATGAAGAGCCAGGCCCCCGTGCGCACGCGCAGCCAGGGCCCGCGGCGCCTCCTGGGCGGGGCTTAGATAAGTCCCGCCCCTCCCCTGCCAGAAAACGGGGTTTCCTCCGCTTGGAGGGTAGCGGCTTCTGGAAGGCTTGGGGGGGGGGGGGCGGGCAGGGGCGGAGCCCGCCTTTCTCAGGGTGGTGGGCGGGCCTCCGAGGATGCTCTGCTCCCTGCCCCCAGCCCGAAGTGCCACCGTGGCGTTGGTGGCGGTCTCCAGACTGAACATTTTTGGCCCCGAGGTCCTCACATTTGCAACCTGTAATCCGGACGCCGAGAGCCGCCCTACTGGGAGCCGCCCGCCGGCCTCTCTGCGGCCGCTAGCCAGTTCAGACCGCTAATAACCAGGCTCCTCGCCGGTTCAAGCACCTGCAGTGGGAGGGAGGGGGCCAGATGTGGGATGGCAGATGGAAACACTTATAGACTCTTCCGTGGAGAGACTGGGTGGGCACAGCTGCACACTGCCCCGGAGGAAGCCGGCCTGCCCTGCAGAAGCGCCCACACAGCACCGTCAAACTTCTCAGCAACAGAATCCCTTCTTCCCATCACGCGTGCAGCCGTTTGCCGCTCTCAGGAACTAGATCAGATGAGACAGGACTTAGGGGTTCAGCCAACAGTTTGAGCTCGGTTTCCCCCACCCCTACTCTCCGTGTCTCGTTCTCATGCCCTTGCTTTCCCGGCTCTGGTGTCTGGTCGTGGCTGCTGTGTGCATTCACTGTGACTCTGGACTAGAGTAGAAGGAAAAGGCCCAGGGAGGGACCCTGGGCGACTGGATAAAATTATCGGCCCCAGAACCTGCAAAGAAGGCGGGTGTTCGACGTCTAGGGGCGGGGAGAGGGGGCGGAGGAGCTTCTCTTTGAATCTTAGTCTCCCGACAAAAGCAGGGGTGGCTAGCGGGTCTGCTTGGCCGTGCATGCAACTCTTTTCGTTCCCCTGCCGGTTCTTTGGGATTGGAAGTCACAGCTGTTACGAAAGGCACTAGGTGAGTCGCTGGGACTCCCCATCATCAGCACCCCATTCTGAACATACTTCAGGTGTAGTTTATACACCTCTGGGGCAATGGTGCTTCAAAGTTGGGTGGTTTATGGAGATGATGCTGGTGTCTGTGCGTGTGTGTACACGTGCATGTGTGTACACGTGCGTTTGTGTATACGTGCGTGGGTGTTAGGGACCATATCCCACGATTTATCACACCTTTCTTCACTTTATCCCCCAAAACCAGTTCAATCAATTATCAACTGGCAGAGTCCCCAGGGAGTAACCAGGCCTCTTTGATGAGGCTTTTGGTTGGCTCCAAGGTAGCAGGGGAAGTGCAGTGTGAGAAACAAGCTTTCTGGACGAGGAGCGGTGAGGCTCATCTTTCGGCACTGGCTTTATTTCTGACCTCCGACCTGGCTTCCCTCTCCTGGCAGGGTGCCACCTACGCTCTGATGCCCCGAGTGCTCACAGGGCTTCCAGCTAACCATGCTGCACCTACCTTGGCGCTGCCCCTGCTACTACTGTTCCTGCTGGTGCTGTGGACCCCGCTCCCCGTTAGCGCGAGGCGGTCCGCAGGCTCTGATTACCTGCGGCGAGGCTGGCTGCGGCTACTAGCCGAGGGCGAGGGCTGTGCTCCCTGCCGGCCAGAAGAGTGCGCTGCGCCGCGGGGCTGCCTAGCTGGCCGGGTGCGCGATGCGTGCGGCTGCTGCTGGGAATGCGCCAACCTGGAGGGCCAGCTCTGCGATCTGGACCCCAGTGCCAACTTCTACGGGCGCTGCGGCGAGCAGCTCGAGTGCCGGCTCGACGCGGGCGGTGACCTGAGCCGAGGAGAGGTGCCGGAGCCGCTGTGTGTCTGTCGTTCACAGCGCCCACTGTGTGGTTCCGACGGCCGTACCTACGCGCAGATCTGTCGCCTGCAGGAGACCGCCCGCGCTCGGCCCCACGCTAACCTCACTGTGGTGCACGCAGGCCCCTGCGAATCGGGTATGCAAGCCCAGGGCTCTTTGTACCAGGACTTGGGCTTCCTAAAGGCACTTCTCCCTGATTCCCGACAGGATTGGTCAGCAGAGTAAAAAGATGAGTAAGCCCCAGAGCCTCAAAAGCTGCCAACTAAAACGCAGGTCGAGATTTGTTGCAGGCTTAATGTAAAGAGCCGCCTGAGAACCTTATTCAGGCTGGCAGGGACCGGCTCTCCGAGAGGACAGGCACATAGCCAACAGCTGGGTCAGAACTGAAAAGACCACCCAGACTTTGTCCAGACTGCTGGAGCCCTGGCAGAGGGGTTCCTGTGAGACACAGTCTTAACCATGGCTCCCGCCTATCCCTCTGGCATCTAGGGATTAGTGAAGGGAAGGTGGCTACTTGCTCCTCTCACCCCTCGTCCCCCGGGTTGAGGTTGGGGGATGTTCAACCCTGAGGTTTTCCTTGGCGGCTCTCACTTCCTCAGCCTCCACCTAATCAAGTCTAGCTGAGCTGGAGTTGCATTGAAAATAAACTCGGCAGCAGGGGGTCCCAGCCGTTTCCCCGGTGCAACAAGGTGGTTTCAGGTTCGCTGCCTCGGCTCTAGTCCCACCTCCACACGCTCAGGGCCCAGATCGTGTCACATTCTCACGACATTTGGAATGTGGCTGCCCTTCAGGCCTTTGGGAACTGGGCTCGGTTAGAAAAGGGGGAGGAAGGGGAGAGGTGTTGGTTACATAGCCAGCAGGAAAGGGGCCCCAGGGTGCATTGAGGACAGGGGAGCAGTCCAGGACAGTGTGTGGCCGCTCAGCTAAGCTGTGGTCTGTATACAGGCGTGTCTGTGCAGCGCACACTGCTCCGGGTACCCGCTCAGCTAAGCTGTGGTCTGTATACAGGCGTGTCTGTGCAGCGCACACTGCTCCGGGTACCCGCGCGTCTCTGTACCTGCTATTGTGCTCTTGTGTGGGTCTGCACCCACATTTGTGTCTATCTGTGCTTGGGGCACATTTTCGCAGATGTGTGTTGACCTCGGCATGAGTTATGTTCTGCCCTAAACGTGTCCACATGAATTTGTAAATTATGTTCTTGCTGAGCTGGGTTCAACTTCCTGTTCTCAAGCCTCACCCTTCCATCTCCTTGCCCCAGAGCCCCAGATCGTGTCCCAGCCTCACAATATTTGGAATGTGACGGGGCAGGATGTGATCTTTGGCTGTGAGGTGTTCGCCTATCCCATGGCCTCCATCGAGTGGAGGAAAGACGGCTTGGACATCCAGCTGCCAGGGGATGACCCTCATATCTCTGTACAGGTAGGGACATGGAGCAGGGACATACTCCTGGAAAGCCTAGGGCTGCCCCAAATGACAGCACATCTGGCTGACAACACATCTGACTCCAGTTTAGGGGTGGACCTCAGAAGTTTGAGGTGACTGGCTGGCTACAGATTCAGGCTTTGCGTCCTAGTGATGAGGGCACCTACAGCTGCCTTGCCCGCAACGCCCTGGGCCAAGTGCAAGCCTCTGCTACTCTGACAGTGCTCACACTAGGTAAGGGAGCCCTGAGCCCTGGGTACCAGGAGGAAGGGGTGTTTTAGGACGCTTGAATTCATGTCTGTATGTGCATGTATGCTGTACGCAGTGAACGCAGCCTTCCCACACACTGAGCTGTGTTTAATCGTCAGGGCCTCTTCTGACCTTTCCCCGTATCACGTTTGCAGACCAGCTGAACGCCACAGGATTCTCCCAGCTGCAATCAATGAGTTTGGTTCCTGAGGAGGAGGCAGAAAGCGAAGAGGATTACTACTAGGTCCAGATCTCTGATTGGCGGGTGTGGGTGGGTGGATAGAGTATCCACCCTGCTGTGGAGAAGATGTACAGAGGCTGGAAAGGGCAGGCCATATGCTCCCATGGACTGTTTGATGCTCGGTTTTATAGCCTCAGTTTCCCTTTCCTCAAAACCCATCTCCCAGAAGCGTCCCACCTCACCGAGTTCCTAGGGCACTTACTAACCATAGTCCTTTCTTCTGTGAGCCCAGTGGGGCTGACTTAGTTCCGTGTAGTGAGGGTGGGGCAGCCCCATGTCTTGTACCGTTATAATGGACAAAACCCACCTAGCATATGACTAGAAACAGTGGGCACCAATAAAAATACAGACAAACTGAGCCACACTGCTGCAAACAGTTGTCACCGGTGTGCACATGGAGAGGACACCCCTGAGTGGCCTCCCACCTCAGCAGGACTCTGGCTGGCTTCTAGTGATTGCAAACCCTAAACACAGGCCTGCTCTGAGAGATGGCTTGAGCTCAGGCCATACTGCCCTCTCCTGTCCCCTAATGAGGGAGCCTAGAGCCGTCCGGTTGGAGGGAGGACCGAAGTTATCCCAATCCCCCCACAAACCCCACCCTCCTACCTCGTTGGTATAGGGATAGATTGCCTATTTCCCATTTCTTGTTCTTGTCTCCCCCCTCCCCAGGCAGAGTGGGGAACCAGGTTATGCGAGAGGGACCCCGATATGAATGCTTACACTGAGTGGTTGGGGCACCCGGGTTAGTCACATCCCTCTTCTGTTCCCTTCTCATAGCCCATCTGAACCCAAAGTCATGGTATCCTTTTTTCAACTGTGCCAGTTGCGACCTGTCTTATCTGATTTGAGGTCCTTTACCAAAGCGCTCTTTGGCCTGAGTCTCTCCTTATATTCTCAGTAACTAGCCCGGGGACAAAGAGGAGTTTATGGAATTGTCTAAGGGTAAATTGGAGTTAGTCATCAGGCCAAGATGCTGTGTGTGGTAAGCGACAACCTCCTACGCGCCGGGGCTCCTCCCGGAGCTGGCGCCACCAAGGGGAGGACCGGCTTTTGGCTCAGTGTCTGCATTTGCATTGTGGGACCCAAAGCAGGCTGCTGGGCCCCCTGGGAGAGGCGTGGCCGGGAAGCCATCCTCCGGGCCTGGCCATCCCTCCCGCCTGTGTGCGCTGCGTTTTCAATAGCTTCCGCCTGGCGACAGCCTCTTTTCCAGTGGGTTCTCACGGCGGTCCCCGGTAGTCGTGCACGGCCCGTGCTGCTTGGGTCGAGCACTTGCAGCGAACTGCAAGGGAGCAGGAGAGTGGAAGGGTCTGTCTGGGTCGAGCGGGCGTGAGGGGCGTCTTGCTGGGTGACTTCAAGAAGGTCCGCCCCATCCTGCGAGAGGAGTCCTGGGTCTGGGTCCCTGCGTCCACCGTAGCTTGTTTTTTTTTTTTTTCTCTGTGGGGGCTCCAAGTGCCTCTGAGGTTTGCCTGTCCCCTCTCACCCACCTGCAGAGCACAGGCTGGCTCTTCGCCCAAACCCAAATCTGTCGCGTCCGCACATTCTATAGGGAGTTACCTCCAAGACCCCTCCGTTCCCCCTCTGCCGCGTTGAAGGTTTGGGCCCCCGAAGCCTGGAGTGGAAGGACGCGCCGCGGCCCACCGCCTTCATCCTCCCCGCACCCCGCCTCCGCAGCAGCGGACGGGGTTTAATAATGTCGCCGGGAAGTGACACGCGATTTATTATTAAAGTAATGCGGGCGCGGGGACGGGAAAGGTTTAATAAACGCGCTGAGATGCCTAGGATTATTCACCGCAAATAAATGAGAGCGCGGGCGGTGTTTTAATAAATAATTTCCCGCCGCTCCCAAGGGAGGAGAGGGGCAGAGGACGGGGGAACTGAGCGGCTTCGGGCACTCCCGGCTCCGCAGCCCCACGGGTTTCTAAGCCTTCTTCACTGGATGGCTCACAGCCGCGGTGTGCTGTTCCTGGAGAGCTGAACCAGAGAGGCCCGGGCCTGGAGGTGGGAGATGCCCCCCAGCGCCCACCTCTGCGGCTTTAATTCGTTTGCACAGTGTAGCAAAAGAGTTCCGTTTTGCTCCCACCCGGAGACAGAACAGCAGGATTAAAACGAATCGAGCCCCTCCCAAACTTGTAGTCCTGGCCTCTGAGCTACGGGGTGGGCCGTTCCCTTGCTTTTGGCTAACCTGGCTGCGTTTCTTTTGCGTTCAGCGCAGGATGTGTGGAGAAAACTGCATATACAGGTGTCGTGACACGGAAGTGCTAAAGGCCGTGACTCCATCGCCGTCTTTGGAGGGGTTGGCCAAAACACACACACACACACACACACACACACACACACACACACACACACACACACACACACACACACACGTCGATCTGAGGACTGGATGGAACTGGAGATTCCAGGGGGAATCCGTCCATCCATGAAAGCTGGAGAGGAGAGAGAGAACTTGATTTTGAAGAGGCCCAAACTGCAGACTTTGGGGATCAAGGACGCGTTCATAAAACAGCTGAAGGTGATGGGAGCTGAATCTACACCTAACACCCAGAATGGTGTCTTTAGTGGGGGAAAAGCGACGTCTCCGGCAAGTCTTAGGAGTACACGCGCTGGGGAAAGGCTGCCATCTAGTGGATATTTCAGGTAGTGGCAGCCGGGCCTGGGCTAGGGGCCTTGAGTTTAAATTGTATGAAGATGCTGGAGAGATGGCTCAGTGATTAAGGGTACTAGCTGCTCTTCCAGAAGACAAGGGTTCAATTCCCAGCTACACTGCTTGACAGTCATAACTGTCTCTAACCCCAGTTCCAGGGAATCTACATAGACATACTTGAAGGCAAAACACCAATGAACATAAAATAAAAATAAACAATACATAAAAAGACTTTAAAAACCTCATTAGGGTGTGGGTGTGGTGGAGCACACCTTTAATCCCAGCAAGGCGAATCTCTGTGAGCTGGAGACCAGCTTGTTTTACATAGTAAGACACTGTATCAAAAAATAAAAATAAATAAGCCGGAGTTGGTGGCGAACGCCTTTAATCCCAGCACTCAGGAGGCAGAGGCAGGCGGATCTCTGTAAGTTTGAGACCAGCCTGGACTACCAAGCGAGTTCCAGGACAGCCTCCAAAGCCACAGAGAAACCCTGTCTCGAAAAACCAAAATAAATAAATAAATAAATAAACAAGTATATATATATATATATATATATGTGGGCAACACTGAGCTGTGCAGACATATTTGCGTGCATAGGTATATGAATCCATTGTTACACATGATACATTTCTTTGCAAATATGTGTTCACTAAGTCATTATTTCAATGTACATCTGTTACGTACCAGGGCTATTATTAGAACTGGGACTATATCATGGGAGAAAAATGGTCTTTTCCTCATGGAGTTTACATTCTGCTTTAAGACATGTGTGAGTGTATCCATACTTGCACATATTGAACATGGGTGCATTTTTTCAGGATTATGTGCACAGAACATGTAACTGTCTGCATGTGTGCCTGTGAAGCTCAGATCCTGGCCCAGTGAGATGGCTCAGCAGCCAAGCCTGATGACCTGGGGTCAATCCCCGGAATCCACTCGATGTAAACTCCACAAAGTTTACCTTGATGTTCCTCACATGCAGCAGTCATCGCTGCTCACAAACATCTCTCTCTCTCTCTCTCTCTCTCTCTCTCTCTCTCTCTCTCTCTCTCTCTCACACACACACACACACACACTCACACACATACTCACTCACACACACACGAATAATTAATTAATCTTGAGAACATGGGTCCTGGGGCTGGAGGGATGGCTCAGAGTTTAAAAGAGCTGCCCTGAGGAGGGCCCAGGTGTGCTTCCCAACACACACACACACACACACACTCACACACATACTCACTCACACACTCACACACACACTCACACACGGAGGCTCACAAACATTGTAACTCCAGCTCAGGAGGATCACATGCTCTCTTCCAGCCTCCATGGGCCCTGTATGCACGTGGGGTGCTTACATATATGCAGGCAAACACCCATACATATCAAATAAAAATACATTAAACCAAAGCAAAACATAGGTTCTGTCACCTAGAACTCCATTCTGGGTGTGCAGGCATCAGGAGGCAGAAGGAAAAGTGCTGAAGACGCGTGGATTACCTCAGAATGTACTGGAGTGTTTCCTCAGCCCTCTGAGTGACCAAATTACCCTCTGACATTTATTTTTAAATATGTGTATGAGTATTTTGCCTGTATGTATGTCGATACACTATGTGCATGCTTGGTTCCCTTGGAGGCCAGAAGAAGGCATCGGAGGCCCCGAAACCAGAGTTACAGATGATTGTGAGCTGCCATGTGGGTGCTGAATAGAACCCAGTTCCTCTGGAAGAGCAGTCAGTGCTCCTAAGTGCTCAGCCATCTCTCTGGCACCCCCATTCTTTCTTAAGAAGGAGAATCTATGGGAGTCTATTTGGGGTAACAAAAGCTTGTTCAGATCACAGCCCACTTCTCAAGGCAAAGTCCCTTCAAGAAAGGTCACAGGTGGGTTTGAGTGCCGTGTGGGGGTCACTTAGAGACTGGTGGGGACCAGGTCTGAAAGGCATTGAGTTCTGGAAGTCAGTTGCAGGTCAGGAGGGGGACACTTGGGGAGGGATGGGAGAGTTGGATCAAGAAGGGCCAGGGAAGAAATGAAGCCAGGCTCAGGGATAGTGTTAAGCTAGGGGGCCAGAGACATGCTCTGGGGGCAGGGGTGCTGAGCAGACAAGTCACCACCCCTCTTCCCACCACTTCCTTCCTCCTTGAGGGGCCCCTAGGCCTCTCTAGCCTTTTCTGTGCTGGGATCTAGATGTGCTGGGTGCAGAGGAGAGCTTTCAGCTTGGGGCTTAACCTAAATTAGGTGACTCACTGGTGGGTGAGGCGGAGCAGGCTCTCAAGACCAGTGATCCATGAAACATTGTCACAGCTCCCGGGTCATTTCCTACCATGCTGTCACTACAGTTCTGGTCTAAGCTCCATCCAGGGAACTCAAGCAAGGGTGGGGCACAGACCTGGAAGATCACATACTCCCCCTGAGTACACTCCTAGGGCTGAAAGATACTTCCCGGTTACTTTCTTCCCTCTTCCCTTCTTTTGCTTTAAGGATGCTGTCAGGACCAGAGTCTTCAGGCACTACCCATGTCTCTATGGAAACAGACATGGTGCCTTCTTTCTCATCCACGTTTGCTCCATTAGTTTACCCTAAACCAGAGTTTTTATCTCCTCACTGATTCTCTACCATGTAGTCCTGTCCTCTTCCTAGGGTTGAGGTCCCTGGGGTGGGGGGTGAGGGCAGGAGGACAGGGTCTCACTGTGTAGCCTTGGTTACCCTGGA